ATGTATTACTTCCATGCTGCTTGGCGTCTTATGATTAAAGTTTGAAAAACTTTATACTATCTTTGTCCTAGTTTATTGGTCCTTTTTAGTATTTAGTGTCAAACTTTGATCATAAATTTAACTAATAAAATGTCAATGCATGTCATTAAAGATTATTCGTCGGAAACTATGTACAAATACGATTAAATAATATAATCTTTATAACATGCATTAATATTTTCTTAGTTAAATCTATGGTCAAAATTTGATACCAAATACAAAGGGACCAATAAACCAGAACAGAGAGGTAGTACTACGAGCCATACGTCATAAAAATTGTACCATTCAAAACCTTTAAGATTATGAATTTAATTATAATAATGTAAAAGAAGCATTCACGGGGGCGAGGCATTCATTTTGTTAACGGAAGCCGAGAGGATCCAAACCATTCGTGGAACCCCAAAACAAGCTTTGTACTACTACTCTATACTAGTAAACTTGCACGTGCAACGTACGTCAAACTTTAACCAAATAAGAATCACGTCAGCATAAAATAATGAGAAAGTCTATTTTTAGTCCTTCAATTAATTAAGAAGTGCAGGTTTCATACCTTAACTTAAAAACAGGACAACTTGCAACTTGAACTTTTCAAACCAAAGAAGTTTTGTCCCTCGACTCAGCTGAAGCTGACTCGGCATGGTTTCGACCGGGTCATGTCCACGTAGCAATGTTTTCCTTTTCATTTGAATCCATCTTTAGTGTGGACATTTTGTCGGACATTTGGAGTGCAATGTGTACACGAAGCACTTGACGTCGTTGTCCCAGAAGCCACACGCCACCGCCATCAGTAGCCCTGTCAGCTACCACGCCAAAACTTTGTGACTCATAGTCAAAATACAAACATAATTCTCATCCAGAATGAACTTTGTTCAAAAGATAATTTAAAATAAGTATGTATTGTGACCGGGGAATCCAATTTGGATGGAGAACAAAATGGTTGCACAGAGATGGCTTCAAACAGAGCTAGAAATGTACATGCCCACGGAGTGGTTTTGTGTATAGATACAGACTGAGCAGCCAAATGAGAAATGTGCTTGGTCACTTAAAAACCTTCACAACATACCAGATTCGGATACATAATGCATGTGCTCACATCTTCAAATGTTGTAAATAATCATTAATAGTCAAGTGGCGGACAAGATTTACACTCATTTGCAGAATAAAGAACGTTCAGACAATCAGCAGCCTTTCACACCATACAAAAAGGATTTAGCCACGATGATCTCTGCTACTTCAGGCGACAAATCAGAGCAAGAAGCCTCACAACCATTGTAAATTTTGGCAGACTTTCAGTCAAAAAAGAACTAACTCTAAAATATTATACTCGTTTGGTCTTATAAACGGGGAACGTCCCCTGATCCTAACGGAGATGCAGCTGCATGATGATTCTCTAGCTCTGACATGTTAAAACCATGGGGAAGTAATAAAATCTACAGAATCTACATAATATGTTACAATTGATGTTATACTGAGCATACATGGAAGTCGGCATAGGATGAGTAAATAGTTGCTTCCGATTTGGATTCAAAGCACATCTTAGTTAAGCAGAAATTGTATACAAAAATTGTAGTACATTACACCCAGTATTAGGTCAAGATATAAGAAGGCAAGACGCTTCATTGAAGAGCAAGAAAAGGCACCATAATAAACATGTGATCAGCAAAGGGACAACTAATAGGGAGAGAAATAATTAAATGTCGTCCCATCAGATGACTATAAAAAGCTTAATTCTGTCCCTGCAAGAGTACAAGTCACATGCTAGTGCGCAGAAGTTATAGACCATCAGCAGTTCTATTGTTATCATGCGTTGAACATTTGTAGTGTCATATTCCTGCAGGTAAGTCGATATGGATTTTCACAAGTTTAGCCTCTTCTTTTGGTCATACACCAGGTTGCTGAGTTTGGCCCTTCGAGACAACATCGACAAGGAGCTTATAATTGTTGAGGTTACTGATTCTTAGCAATCTGATGCAATGTAACCTTTTTCAAGAATAACACAACTATGCCTATCAACCAATCAAAATTATATATCGTAGCATATCAATCACAATGCATGATGAAAAATTGTATGTCCTGATACACCGATTCTTTTAAATGCACTTCCAAAATATACGTACTCCCTCCGGTCCAAATTAATCGACGCAACTCTTGTACAACTTTAGTACAAAGTTGAACTAAAGCTGCGTCAATTAATTTGGATCGGAGGGAGTAGTAAAATTCGTGTTGCATATAGCACATTCCGCTATATATGGCTCATTTCTTCACATCCCCCTATTGTTTTTACTAAAAGAAGGCAAAGGGACAGTCGAATAGAAATACATATCTCGAAACTATCTTTTCATAGATGGCAATATGTTCATGAAGCATAACATAATTAAATTTTTGTTTATAGCGACAGATTAGTTGTTTTATGCGTAACAGTTTCGAACTTTAGCTAAGACTCATTTCTTTTCATATATGGATAAAAAAATGCAACAAATTTTGACTTCTCATGTTACTTCATATTGAAATGATAGCGGACACTCAAAATAGCCATTTCAGTAGAACTTCAAGGAAGCCTAGAAATGGAGACAGAACAGAAACCTGAAATACATGGTCACTTAAAAATCCTTGGAAAAGATTTGGCCTTCTTACAAAAGAGAATTTTCCTAACAGAATTCCAAAAGCCATATGTTCCTTCGATACTTGAATTGTTGCCTATGTTACCTGCACACAGGAGCAGTTTAGATACTGATACAACACAAATATATGGCATGAGATGAAAACAATTCTCTTACTTGCTGCTGACCAGCACTGATAAGTATTTCTGTATCTACTTGTCCAGTAACACCTGGCACCTTACCTAAGCACAGTTAAATATCAAATATGCTCGGGGGACACATTTCAATATTATTGGCTGAAACAATAGCATCAGAGTTTGAAAAAAAATACAAAATGACATTGGTGTAGAAGTTTAGTTTGAGAAGAAATATGGCAAGTGCAGCACAGGTAGAAGCTGATTGTCTAGTTTAAAAATATAGGAGCTTGGAAGTACAGAAGATAGGAAGTACAGAACATAGTGAGAGATTAATGATCGCTCACAGGAGAGAAATTCAGTGTCCTCGTTGAGCCGCTTGCTGTTGATAGAAATTCAGTTCAGATTAACCTATTTCACATCCATAGAATATGTGTAGGGAAAATAATAATAATCAGACATGTACTCTACAGAATACTGTAGTACTCAATGTGAATCCTAGTCCATGCCAAAAGGAAAAAGAATTAGAAGAGGCTCTGCAATATTGGAATAAATTCAGAAAAGGACATATTGCCTTAGAGTAAAGTAAGCAGAGGCGACAGAACAAGATTCCTGATAATGTCCAACCTAAATAAAAAACCTAAAGTTCTCCTTTAACGATCCACAGTAAAAAATAAAATAAGAAACTGAAAATTCTACTCTTCCATATGTAACTGTCAATTACCATAATGAAAAGAATATCCTCTCGCCTTCACCATAAGCCATAAATCAAATTGTTTATTTAGATACAGTAAAAACCATAACTAAAACAGAGCCAACTTTGAGAAATAAGGACCTCATAGCATGTCCAATTTGGTCCAACTGAACATGAATCATGGCTGCAAGCATCAATCGACTGTATCTCGTAACTATGACAAACATGTAGTGGGATTGGTGAAGAATTGCCTATGTATTTACTCAGTGAAGGGAGACGTGGTCTCATATGGGTAGCACAAAAGCCACAATAGTGCTGACGTTCTCCACCATGGCTCCGTTCTGTTCCTCACACGTACATCGCTAGCAGCATGGACAATGTTCGCCGCAGCACTATTATTGCTGGCATTAGAGAATACTTACAGAACAAACAGTAAAACAAATAAATGAGCCACGAGTGTACATGCATCTTCTCTTGAATGCAGATTAGCGTCTGCTCGCGCGCAGAAGCTGGTGTTGCTGCTGCAGATTGGCATCCGCCTGCAGATTAGCGAGACCGGCGACAAGCGCGCCGGCGAGGGCACAATGGCGACGGCGACCCGGGGTGGGGGGGGTGACGGCGCCGAGGAGTGTGTCAGGTCCAGCGAGAGGACGGGGAGCCCCGCTGAGAACGCGTTGGCGAGGGCGTCGGGAAGGCGGCGAGGAGGCCGGGAGAGAGGGCGCCCGTGAGAAGTGATGGGCAGTTCGGAAGAGGGAAGTGCGAAGGGCGTGACGGCTCCGGCGGCGAAGGGCGAGGCGGCCTGTGGCGACCTGCGGCGAAGGGCGTGACGGACGGTGAACAGCGGCGGCGAACGGCTGCTGGAGGAACAGCGGGGCGTCGAACGGCGCACGGGAGGAACCGCCCGTGTTGTGCCGTTCGTTGGGAGGAGGGGGCAGTAGGTCGTGCCTCGTGCGTTGTTGCCAGAGTTTTTTTTTTAAACGACGGGGCAGGGTTAGCGATCGATGGGTTAGTGGCTTGATGTGTGGTTTGTATCGTTAAACACAAGAGAGTTAAACATTGAAGGATTAAGGGTCATTAGATCTCGCTAATGGATGAATCTGATTGGTTGGTTATCCGTCTTCTTTTTTTTTTATAGGGGTAGTAGATGGTTTGGTGAAGTACTCCGACGTGGTCCCAATTTGCGGCATCCCGTTGCGGTTTCTCCATAAAGCAGAAATTCCTGCCCCATTTTTTACTGAAGAAAAAAGCAAGTCAGCCGGCCGTCGGTCTCACCCTCTCAACGCTTCTGGAGGCTTCCGGCGGCGGGTGGAGACCCACCACCACCACTCCACGAGCTTCTTTTCTGGTAAGTTCTGCCCGCGCGCAACTTGCTCGCACGACACCGGCCCACCTCGTCCGCTCGTGAACGTTCGTTCCTACGCCACCCTGCGCTCCTGCTCTCCGCTTCGCCTCCGGCCACCTGCCGACAAGTCGACAACATCCCGGCGACAAGCTCGACAGCGACCATACGTAAAAGGAGGTGGTACCTGCGCCATGGCCGACGCCGACCTCTACGCCGTCCTGGGGCTCAAGAAGGAGTGCTCCGACGCCGACCTCAGGCTCGCCTACCGGAGGCTCGCCATGGTGAGTTGTTCGTGTACCCATGGCTGTTCGCGTGTCTCCAGTAATTCGTGTTGATTCGGAACCCATGCGTGAATCTGTCTGTAATCAGATCGTTCTCTTCGATCTTGTTGTGGCAGACATGGCATCCGGACCGGTGCTCGGCGTCCGGCAGCTCCGCGCGCGTGGAGGAGGCCAAGGAGCGGTTCCAGGAGATCCAGAGCGCATACTCCGGTCATTAATTCTTCCATTCCATCACCATTAATTAGTTAGCGAGCGCGCACAAGTTATTTTCATGGCGACGAAGCACATCTTTCTGCTGCTGCCGCCTGCTAGCCTGCGTAAAAGGTAAAACTCATATGCCACGTACGGGGCGTCCTCTGTTTTCCATGTTGTGCGCACAGTGCTCTCCGACTCCGGCAAGCGCCTCCTCTACGACGTCGGCGTCTACGACAGCGACGGCGACGGCCGCAGCGAGCAAGACGTACGTACCCGACCATGTATCACGTTTCTTTGGATCGAGCCAACCAATTTAGATATTTACCGGAATTCTCCCGTGGACGCAGGTGTCGGGGATGGGCGACTTCTTCGGGGAGATGGCGGAGATGATGAGCCAGGCCACGCCAACCGTAAGTTAGATCAACTCCTTACCGCATTCTGACATTGTTTTTCCTTCACATCAGCGGCTTGAGTGGATGTTACTGATGAGGCGGTGACTTTGCAGGATAGCTTCGAGGAGCTGCAGCAGCTGTTCGTGGACATGTTCCAGGCCGACCTCGTCGCCGGTGGGTTCGCGTGCGGTGCGCCACCTATGGGCCGCCGGGTCCAGGCCCCGGCCCCGGCCCCGAGTCCATCCTGTACCTCTGGACCTACGTTTGCGCAAGCACGGCCGTCGAGTAACAATGGCGTCAACAAGCGGTGTTCCCCGGCGATGGGCTCCGGGATGCCGGCCTCATGGACGACGCAGGAGGACGCGAGCATCGGCGGCAGGAATAAGAAACAGAGGCTGTCGACGGGCCACGGCGTGTCGTCCTAGGAGGAAGCGAGGGATGCGCGGCGCGCGTGGCAGCGTAGATGCGCGCTCGCTCTGTGGATCTGACCGACCGACGGTCAGCAAGTTTTGGAGGATGTGATGCCCAAGCTTTTCAATTAGTTTATTCTTTTGCTTACTTTCTAGAAAAGCTTTTGATCTATTTCATCGTTTGTTATGTCGGTTAAAGAAACATTAGATATAGTAAAAATTACATCCATTGTAGCAGTGTGCTGGCGCTATTAGAAATGGTAAAAACAACTTATACACTGAACAGAACACTGTCAAAGTTTGCTGAATTGGCACCATAAGAGTTATGGAATGAAAATAAACCCAATTTGTCGCATATGAAAATTTGGGTTCTGAAACTTATGTAAAACGTTTACAACCAAATTATGTTTACAATCAAATTAGCACAATGCTCGTGCATTGCAACGGAAGAAACATATTCATAGTCTTACAACGGGAGGGACAATTGTCTCGTTGTAAACGGACATCCGTGCAACCCCCCTCCTATCAGGCTAGTCAAAGTGGGAGTAACTTAGCAAGTAACATAGTGCACTTCGAGAAATTTTTGCTTATGTGGCTTGTAGTTAATGAGAAGTGGTAACATAATATGTTACTGTAACATAGCGCTTTTCAAGACAAGATGAGTCTACAAGTTAATTAATAAAGTCTTCTATGACATTACTACTATGTTACTTTGCACTATGAATATAGTAACTTAGACTAGTGTCATATGTATGACACTAGTATAAGTTACTCTCCACTATGACCAGCCTTAGTACAACGGACATCCGCACAACCCTCTCCTATCAGCAGGGACAAAATCTCTTGAATCACAATATGGTGCCACATCATCATATAGTATTTAATAAAATTTTACATATTTATGAAAAACAACTATACCGGAGGAAAAAAATCAATTGTCTTGGAATTTTTAAGTATCCTTCTCAATTAAAATAAAGTTCTAGGCTCCCTAGATCCACGGAGCCAAATTGCCTCACTTAGTGTTTGATCTGATATTACACATTTGAGGGTGTTTATCAGACAAAACATTTTTTTCTTTATTCATGCAAAATAACTATTACTCTCTCCGGTCCTTTTTACTCTGCATATTAAAATTCTCTAAAGTCAAACTTCACAAAGTTTGACCGTATTTATATGAAAAAATATCAACATCTGCCATGCTAAAGTTATATAATATGAAACTTTAAGTCATGACACATCTAGTAGTATTGATTTTAGATTGTGAATGTTGGCACTTTTTTCTACAAAGTTGGTCAAACTTTACGAAGCTTGACTTCAGTCAAACCTTATATGCGAACTAAAAAGGACCGGAAGAAGTATCAGATTACGTATGTATCACATATCCTTATCCCTGGTTAACGAAAAACATACTGGATATGACACCATCAAATCTCTTAGTCTGATAATATTTTCATGAGAGAAACAAAATATGTCACTTCTCACATGTATTTCAATGAGTTCCTCACTGGAAACAAAATACTACAATACTCGCAATTGGGTCTCTTTCATAAGAGTAGAGTGCAAACAAAGCATTATTATTTCAAACAATGAAAACCAGTCACTTCTCACATGTATTTCAATGAGTTCCTCACTGGAAACAAAATACTACAATACTCACAATTGGGCCAACTCTTAGAGAACAAAGCACGGGCTCTTTCATAAGAGTAGAGTGCAAACAAAGCATTATTATTTCAAACAATGAAAACCAGTTACCTCCATCAATTAAAAAACAGAAGATCTCACAAGAAGATTTTACGCTAAATAACAGATAGAAAAAAGTAAGTAAAGCCTGGTTTCAAAGTCGAAGTAGTGCTTCGCAAGTCCAGCATGGGACTCGGCAAGATATGTTTAGTTATGCATGGCTCCATAGTCATTATACATCGCAATATCGGTGAATGAAATAAATGGCGGCTGGAAAAACAAAGGCCAAATGCATGCTCCGGAAGCAAAAGATATACTTCAGGACAAGCGCAAATCACAAGAAATCTACTCCTTGCTAGTAGTAGGTGGAGGTAATGTTGCCGAGGATGAGCAGCACGTAGCCGGTGGCAGGGGGCCAGCAGGAAATGGAGGAGGCATGAGGGGCTTTGTTGGGGCACGGACACCGCCAGAGGCAAAGTTGCGATGCATAGGTTGTCGTCGGAGGAAACATGGAAGGGGGCGGAAGGGGCGGCGAGGATGAGGGGGTGTGGTGTTGATGATGGGTGGTCGGACTACTGCAACAGAGGAGAAGCAGGAGACGTGTCCGTCGACTAACGGCGTCGGTGTCGTACTTGTCGTGGTCGGGCGGAGGAAGGAAGGGAGCGGGGGAGACAGCAAGGATGGGAGAGTCGTGGTAGTGGTGGGCGACAGGGTGGAGAGGAGCATGGGTCGGACGACGCCGACAAAAGCCACTTCGGTAGATCGGTTCTGACACTGTCGACTATTGGTTGTTTGTACGGAGCTTTTTTCTGAGATGTGGCTAGTCGGGACAGACATGGGATTATCTAAAAATATCTACCTCGGTGCGGGTGCCTTTCTGCAAAATCTCTAGAAATTGCTTCATGTCCGTTAGATGCAGATCCGAAAGTTGTAAATCAAGAATGGTAGACACATCATTACCCAACTCAGATTTTTATAGGAGTATCGAGATGTGGTGTGACGCCCCCGATTTAATCGTACACTAATCATACACGCAAACGTGTACGATCAAGATCAGGGACTCACGGGAAGATATCACAACACAACTCTACAAATAAAATAAGTCATACAAGCATCATATTACAAGCCAGGGGCCTCGAGGGCTCGAATACAAGAGCTCGATCATAGACGAGTCAGCGGAAGCAACAATATCTGAGTACAGACATAAGTTAAGCAAGTTTGCCTTAAGAAGGCTAGCACAAACTGGGATACAGATCGAAAGAGGCGCAGGCCTCCTGCCTGGGATCCTCCTGGCTACTCCTGGTCGTCGTCAGCGGGCAGCACGTAGTAGTAGGCACCTCCGGTGTAGTAGGAGTCGTCGTCGACGGTGGCGTCTGGCTCCTGGGCTCCAACATCTGGTTGCGACAACCAGGTAGAAGGGATAGAGGGAAAAGAAGGAGAAAGCAACCATGAGTACTCATCCAAAGTACTCGCAAGCAAGGAGCTACACTACATATGCATGGGTATCAAATGGAATAAGGGTATCATATGTGGACTGAACTGCAGAATGCCAGAATAAGAGGGGGATAACTAGTCCTTTCGAAGACTACGCTTCTGGCAGCCTCTGACTTGCAGCATGTAGAAAAGAGTAGACTGAAGTCCTCCAAGTAACATCGCATAGCATAACCCTAACCGCTGATCCTCCCCTCGTCGCCCTGTGAGAGAGCGATCATCGGTTGTATCTGGCACTTGGAAGGGTGTGTTTTATTAAGTATCTGGTTCTAGTTGTCATAAGGTCAAGGTACAACTCCAAATCGTCCTGTTACCGAAGATCACGGCTATTCGAATAGATTAACTTCCCTGCAGGGGTGCACCACATACCCCAACACGCTTGATCCCATTTGGCCGGACACACTTTCCTGGGTCATGCCCGGCCTCGGAAGATCAACACGTCGCAGCCCCACCTAGTCCAACAGAGAGGTCAGCACGCCGGTCTAAACCTAAGCGCCCAGGGGTCTGGGCCCATCGCCCTTAGCACACCTGCACGTTGCGAACGCGGCCGAAAGCAGACCTAGCCTAGTGGCCTTCCAGTCCAATCCGGCGCGCGCCACTCAGTCGCTGACGTCACGTAGGCTTCGGCTGATACCACGACGCCGGGATACCCATAACTACTCCCGCGTAGATGGTTAGTGCGTATAGACCAAATGGCCAGACTCAGGTCAAATACCCAGATCTCGTTAAGCGTGTTAAGTATCCGCGAACGTCGACCAGGGCCAGGCCCACCTCTCTCCTAGGTGGTCGGAACCTGCCCTGTCGCTCCGCCTCAAAGATCCACTCGCGGGTGCTCCTCAAGCCGACCCGTCTTTAGTCACCACATGTATCATGTATAAAGTATATAGTATATACCCGTGATCACCTCCCGAGTGATCACGGCCCAATAGTATAGCATGGCAGACGGACAAGAATGTAGGGCCACTGATGATAAACTAGCATCCTATACTAAGCATTAGGATTGCAGGTAAAGGTAACAACAGTAGTAGCAAGGATAGGCTATGCATCAGGATAGGATTAACGGGAAGCAGTAACATGCTACACTACTCTAATGCAAGCAGTATAGAGAAGAGTAGGCGATATCTGGTGATCAAAAGGGGGGCTTGCCTGGTTGCTCTGGCAGGAGAGAGGGGTCGTCAACACCGTAGTCGTACGGGGTAGCAGCGGCGTCGGTCTCGGTGTCTAGAGAGAGAAGAGGGGGAAGAAACAATAAATATAATGCAAGCATATGCATAGTGATGCATGACAAGACAAGTTACGGCGTTAGAGGTGCCCTAACGCGGTAGTAGGTGATACCGGTGAAGGGGGAAAACATCCGGGAAAGAATCCCCGGTGTTTCGCGTTTTCGGGCAAAGGAGCCGGAGGGGGAAAGTTGCGAGTTGGCTATGCTAGGGATGCGTGGCGGACAAACGGGCTGCGTGTCCGGGTTCGTCTCGTCGTTCTGAGCAACTTTCATGTACAAAGTTTTCCCATCTGAGCTACGGTTTATTTTATATTAATTTTTAAAGATTTAATCATTTTTAGAATTTATTTAATTATTTAACTCTAACATTATCTAGAATAGTATATGCTGATGTCATCATGACGTTAGCAGTCAACAGAGGTGTTGACTGGTCAAACTGACGTGTGGGTCCAGTGGGACCCACCTGTCATACACTGTTTTAATTAACTAACTATTAATTAGGTTAATTAGTGATTAGGTTAATCTAATTATAATTAATTAATTTAATTAATTCCTTAATTAATTAATTAATTAATTTAATTATTATTGTTTATTTAATTATTTCAATTATTATTTATTTTAT